TGAAAGAGATCAAGTAAAATACAAAACATGGGGAGCACATTAATACAAGAATGATGTATTCTTTTTTCTTCACTATGATTTTTTTCCCACAAGATTTTTTTTTTATAATAAAATTTTAACGAAGAACATTCTTTGTATAAATCATCCAAGAGAGTGTTATATATGTAATACACATGTAGTGTATACATATGTAATATATGGATGCGACGTGACTCGTTTTACGTCAATATTCGTATTCCTTCTTACCTATAAATATACCTATAAATATGGGATTCATCTTTCAGCTAATGGGATTAAAATAAAATTTTATTTACTCCTCTAACTCTTTTTATATATATCAATACATACATATATTAGTATATAAGTAATCATTATATATATAATATATTATTATACTCACACGTCATATATATATATAATATACGCTTACCAACATTTATTATATAACAATCAATGCTTATAAATAATACATATTTATTTTTAGTCAATAATCTATATATAATCTAATATATATATTTACCGTGTATTTTGGTTCACTACGTGGTAACTGTTTGACTTTTTTCTTATTTTTCCTTTAATTTTTTTTTTTTTTTTTCCATGTGAATCCCACGTGTTTAAACACGGATTGCCGAATTAGCTATATGTGTGGATACAATTAAGTGGTTAAATTCTTCTATTCAATTTATTATATTATTACTTCATAAAATATATATATATATTTCTATCCTTTCAAATACCTGCAATTTTTTTTTTTAGTTAATTTCAAATATCTTATAATATTTTGTAATAAAAAATAATTATTTCCATGTAATTATATACCATATTTTATTTCATTTTATCACTTAAATAAAAAATGTATATACTTCTTTTCTTATAATTTTATTTAATTTTCAAATTATCATATTTACTATGTTATACCTAAATTATCGTGTCAAAATAAAATATTACACTATATTTAAAACTAAGGATGTAATATTTTAATTTGAGCCCGTCGAACTATTAATTAGTGACAAAACCTAATTCTGAACTATTAAAAAATAAATTGTTGTTTAATTCTAATTCGATTTCAATTTATTAATAAAATTATTAATGATCAATAGTATTATTCTCTTCGTTTCAACTGAAAGTATTATTTTATTATAATTTTCATTCTTTCTATTAAATAATATCAATTTCCTTTTATTGTGAAAATAATCATACTAATATCAAAATATTCGTTAATTTGTACATAAATTACAAATATATCACACGTTGCTCCGATTATCATACTGATTGAGTAAAATAGCATTAAAGAAAATAAAAAATATTGATATAACACATATTTGAATAGCACATTATGTTATTATATGTAGCAAAATATGTTCTAATTTCAACAAATTATATTATGATTTCAGCACAATAGTAATTTGATCTAATAAAAAAATATCTATAAAAAAAATAGCAAATAGTAATATAATATATAGAACATTATATGATACAATATATGTTATCTTTTTTACGACGATTTGCTAATTGTTTCAAATTAATGTGCTATTTTAGTATTATGCTATATGTAATGTGATATTTACTAATTATTTTAGGTTACTTTATTGATTTGGTCAAATCAACACGGTGCTGAGTTGACCAAATCAGTACTCTAACCGTCGTTCATTCGTTGCACATACAATTGATATATATATATAATATAAATGACGAAATATTATAATTATTTTATATTCCACGATTAATAAAATATTATTATTTTTTAATCTATTGTAAAATCTCATTTTGGTTACTTAGAGTACAAAAATGAAGGGAGTGTTTGGTTGGAAGATTCCACAATGGATTTTAATATTTGCTAATTTTTTTTACAAAAAAATATCAAGAGTTTGTTTGCCTAAGAATTTTTTGTGATATGATTCCCAATATATATATATATATATTAACCTCTCAAAAAAGTCAACATTCAATATAAAATACTATTATTTTTTATATTACCGACATGGTTCCTCCTTATATCTCGCATCAAAAAAATTTTTCAAATCAAAACACTAAACAAACAAATTCTAAATTAAATTTTTATTTTTTATTTTTTTTATATTAAAGATTAATTTTACATTTAAATCCTCAAAATGACTCATTTGGATTGAGAGGGAGGAAGCATTTTTATTATTTTTATGGTAAAAAAAATACCAAAAGAAAAGGGAGTGTTTGGTTGGGTATTCTACATTGGATTTTAATATTCATTATTTTTTTAAAAAAATTATTAAATTAAATATTTATTTTTTTATTTTATAATTATATTAAAAACTAATTTTATATTCAAAATAACAAATTAATATATATATATTTATATCAAATACTCTCTCCGTCCTATAACAAAATATTTATATTTTTATTTTAGTCCATCCCATAACAAAGTATGAATTTCCTTTTTTAATAACTGTACTATTTACCTAACATTACAAATACCCTTACAACTTACTATATATTACACAAATGTTATTACCTTTATATCACATATACTAATAAGGTTATTTTAGTCATTTTATTTTATTTCTATTATATTTCAATATAATACTAATATTTTTAAAATTACGTGCAAAAAGCAAATACATATTTACTTTTGGGATGAGGGGAGTAATATAATTATTCAAATTTTTTAATATTCAAGACTCAAATCGGGAACCAAACACACTCAATATAACCAAAAAAAATAAGAATATTGGTAAGTGAAAAAAAAAAAAAAACTGACGACACATTTAGGTGACATAAAAGTAATATCTAAAATAGGTACTTTTGTGTGCGGAGATTTTTTGTTCTTAATTTTTAATCTATTGTAACGATATTTATGTAAATAAATATAAATTTAAAAATATTTTAATATATAATATGTCACATTGACTAAGAAAAAATAAAATATATATATTTTATTTGGACAAATAAAAATGATATTGTATATCTTTCCTAAGTTTAACAATTGAATAGTTTTTAGTGTGTGTGTATTTTTTTTTTAATTTTATTAAAAATAGAATCAAATTAATTAGAGGTATAAAAGTTATTCACTCCGGCTATTTTTAGGTGATTGTCTTTTTGTTATAAATTGACAAATTTGTCCATAATTATATGGTAGATATTAAAAGTAATAAATGAATAAAGGGTAAAAATGTAAAATTTGTGTTTAAAAAAAAAATAAAACAATAGTTATTGAACGTCCCAAATAAAAAAATAGGACATTAGTTTATAAACGAACGGAGTATTTACTAATATAATATATTATTAATTTTATTTTTTTATTTTTTTTTTTTTTCATTATGCCTGGGCAGAATCTATCTGCCCATTTAGCAAGATCCTATATTATATCTCTCAATTAAATTCCTCAAATCCACAAGTTCTTGGAATTTTTAGAATTAAATAAAAACGGTTTTGGTAAATTATATTCCTTCGATTCCAACAAGGATGATCTATTTGACTAGAGAGATGATATTTTAGTAGTTTAAATTAGTAAGTTATTAATAATAATTATTATATTATTTTATTATTTTTTATATGAATAGTGTTGTTTGTATTTAAATATTTTTAGGATTATATATTTAAAAAACATATGCAATATTAATATTCTTTTATAGATAATAAAATTTTATATAATAAAAATAAATAAAAAAATATACTTATTTATAATTAACTAAAAATTAATTTTATAAAAAATGAGAAAGTTTTGAATATAAATAAAAATATTTGTTTATTGACAAGAGATAAAAATAAAAAAGTTTTGAGTGGCCTACACTACACGTAAGAAGTTAGAAATTTAATGAAATTAATTTTTATTTGTTAAATATGTTTAAGAGAGATAAATTTATTAAAAATATAAAGAGATTATTTTGTATTTTGATATTTTTTTATGTGAAATATGAAGAATTATGTATGTAATATAAAAATAAAAAGTCTATAATAAAGTAATATTTTTCGAAAATTGTGTTGAAAAACTTTGTTGAATAAACAAAGCCGTTACCCTTTTTAATGAAAATTATTAATTTGAGAATTTTGGATTAAAAAATTAGATATATATATATATATTTTAAAAAAATGGAAAACTAATAGGGTCTGTTTGTTTAATGAAATTATTTGAAGATATGTTTTTTTATTTTTTATTTTTTTATATAAAATTATAAAGAATTGTGTAAATAATATAAAAATAATGAGTATATAATATATTAATTTTTTAAAAAATATATATATTTTAAAATTGGTAGAAGCATACACCCATAGTGATTTTTGGATTTTTTTAGGTGTTTGGTTATTTTTTGAAATTGGATGTTTAATTTAAATTTTTATTTAAATAGTACTATTTTATACGATATTTTAAAAATAATTTATTTTAATCAAAAATCCTACGAAATGAATAGTGTTAAAATGCATTAAAAATTTTAATCCAACTAGAAAAATTAAAATACTTCTCAGTCAATATTATAAAAAATACAATATATATTCGTATAAAATATATACTTCATCTACCGAATAATTTTACAATTTAATATAAAATATTATTTTGTATTACCGTACGTTCTCATGCTTAACATAAAAGATACCTTAAATTAAAGATACAAAATAAATACATCTTTAATATTTCAACATACATGTTGAGAAATTTATGACAGGGTTAAATATAATGAATTTTATTTCGATGGATTCAAATATAATAAAAACAAAAAATATATAATATAATTAAAATTATTTATGATAGCACCAAAAATCTAAAAAAATATAATAAAAAATATTTATGGTAACCATAATAGATGCAAACTTAAAGGAAAAGTTGTGCTAAAAATAATATAGTATTTGTTATGTTAACATAATTAAAGATATTAAAAGAAGCAATTGAATATTTTCTTATGGCAATTTAAAATGAAATAAAATAAAATAAATTATTTATGGTTAGCACCAAAAACAAAGCATATCCATATCCATATCCATCCCTAAAATCTCAAGTATAAATAAATTAAGACAAACATTGGATCATTACCGATTAGCCCTACGTCTTCTCTGTTTCATAGTCTTTAATTAATTCTCTCTCCGTCGTCCCAGTGATACAACATCTTAGAGGTATGCACATATAATATAATATAATATAATATAATATAATATAATATATAATTGTTATTATTATTATTATTAAGTGTTTTTTTGGGTCTTTCTGCAAAGCAGTATCCAGAGGGTAGTGGTTTTGAGTTTAAGGTAAAGGGCATTAGAGAAAATCAGTAAGCTACAAAAGGTTATTTTTGCAATTTTAGATGGATAAAAATGTTAAGATATAAAATATAATATTTATATATATTTTGGCTGAACGAGGATTATATAAAAAAAAAGGAGAGGGGGGTGGACTAATCTATAAAATTTACTAAGCAATATATTTTATTTAATACATATAAAAGGATTTATATTTATTTATTGTACGACAATTTTATTTTTTTAATGATCATATTTTTAAAATATTACAGAAATTAGGAAACTACAACAATAGTAGCACTTATATATTGTAAATATATATATAGATAGATATTTAAGGTCTACAAGATGTGTAGTTTTCATTATAAAAAAATTTACACATTTAAATTAAATTTTTAGTATTTTATTCAGTTAATTACAATTTTTTTTTTTTTTGTATACTAAAGATATATGTTTATTATTATTATTATTTTAGTATTGTATTTATTAAGTTTTTTTTTTTAAATAAAATTTCCAATATAATGTTGCTAGCATATATAAGATGAGGTTTATAAGGAATTTGAGTTCCCTTGTAAAATAAATGGGCATTAATTTCCAATATATATAATATAGCTAGCCATATATATATAGAACTTGTATTTCATTTAAAAAAAAAAACAATTTATTTTGCTATTATTACTTAAATTTGAGCTTTTGACATAAAGCAGCAGAAATATTTGAACATTGCGTTGTTATTTTATATTAATTAGTTATGTGCACTATTTACATAAATTTAATTGGTCATTATTTCCATTCTGAATTACATATATATTTTACAAGTTATGATCATAGCATGCATATATGATATAGAGAAATATTATAATGTGGTGTTGTTCAAATTAGCTCACTTTCCTTTTATAATTAATGAAATTAAATACTTTATATATTTCTATAAAAAGAAATGAAAGTGCCGGCGGCGAGAAGAGGAGTTGAGAAGAAGGCGTATGCAAGACCGATACATGAAGCCATGTGCTATCCATTTTCGCATTATAATTTAGCAAAAAAATTAATGTGGCGTGATGGAAGTCGCTGGGAAACCAAGAGTCCGGCTTTACACATGCTACAATTGTTTCGGCAAAGAAAATCAACAAAACTACAGGTAGGTTGGTATATATGCCTATAGAAGAAACACTTTTATTTATTATTTTACAATATATGTCATAATATTGTTATACTAATAATTTCGTGTAGCTCAAGATCCATAATTTATGTAATATTGTTCTCTATCTAGTTTGCTGATACGAAGAGCAAGCAATCGAACGAGGAGGATGTAGAGACTAAAGGAGACGATACTTGTTGCAAGGGAGTGGAAGAGATCAATGACATTGGCACCCCTACCCCTACCCCTACCCCTGCAGCTAACATCAATGGTAGACAGAGATACAATCTCAGGAGCGGGAGAACTCATAATAAAGATGCTTTTAAGAGGAAATCATCATCCGCTAAAAAGGGTTCACGAAAGGAGGGCAAGAAGAAAACTGTTTTGAATAACGTCGTCGATTCCGGGGATGATGGAACTATGACTTGTTGTCATAATGTCCAACCCGTTAATATTGACGAAGCCGCCGCCATAAGTTTTGATGATATCGGTGGCTTGTCTCGGTGTGTAGAGGCGTTGAAGGAAATGGTATTTATACCATTATTGTATCCGACATTTTTTACAAGTTTCCACATTACTCCACCAAAAGGAGTTTTGTTGTGCGGTCCTCCTGGCACGGGAAAGACTTTGATTGCGAGGTCATTAGCGTCCGTTGCATCCAAGGTAGCGGGGCAAAAGGTGCACTTCTATATGCGCAACGGCGCTGATGTGCTGAGTAAATGGGTCGGGGAAGCTGAAAAACATTTGAAATTGTTGTTCGAAGAAGCTCAAAGGAATCAGCCTTGCATCATTTTTTTTGATGAAATTGATGGACTTGCTCCAGCAAGGTCTGACAAACAGGAACAAAGTTACAATTCTATTGTCTCAACTTTACTCGCATTAATGGATGGTCTAGAGTCAAGGGGGCAAGTAATTTTAATTGGAGCTACCAACAGAGTAGATGATATTGATGGAGCTTTGAGGCGTCCGGGGAGATTCGACCGCGAGTTTTACATCCCTCTGCCAAGTTGTGAAGGGCGTTGTGAGATATTGGACATACATACAAGAAATTGGAAACAACCTCCTTCAAAGGAGTTAAGGTTGGAGCTTGCGGGGAGTTGCATGGGATACTGCGGTGCTGATTTGAAGGCGTTATGTACGGAGGCTGCCATGCGTGCTTTTCGTGAAAAATACCCTCAGGCTTATGATATAAAGGGCAAAGCATGTTCAATTGATGCGGATTCCGTCCATGTTGGAAAATCCCATTTTTTGGAGGCCATGTCAGAAATTAGACCGGCCAGTCATCGAAGCGCCAAAGATGTCGACTCTAGGCCATTATCATCTATTGTGTCTCCGTGTTTGAAGAGGCAGTTGAAGAGGTGTATGGATGTCGTTCTCGACATCTTTCCCTTTTTAGTTGAGGCAATTCCGGCTCCTCCAATTTATCGGCCTAAGCTACTCTTGGTCGGTGACGATGTGGCAGCGCTGGTGAGCGATAGTTAGTTATGAATGAATGAATGAATGAATCCTGGATCCAATGTTGTTTTGTTGCAGGAGCATATATCCCTTGCTATATTGCATCAAGTAGAGAGATTTCCAGTGCACTCTCTGGCACTAGAATCATTGCTCTCTCAAGTGTCAAGCAGGGCCACACCGCAGGGGAAAATGGAACAGGTTTTCATTCAAGCTAAGAGAACAACACCGTCAGTAATTTATTTGCCCCGCCTTCACCATTGGTGGGAAAATGTAAGTTTGATTAATAATTAATTTAATTGAATTGAATTATGCTAATATATCTTGTTTGTAGGCTGATGATCAACTTCGGATCCTACTGTGCTTGTTGTTTGTAGGCTGATGATCAACTTCGGATCCTACTGTGCTTGTTGGTGGAGAAACTGCCATCGGATATGCCAATACTAGTTTTGGGAACGTCATCAATCCCGCCTCTGCAGATATGCGATCAACTCACTTCAATATTCTCTCAAGATTTTGATGTGTATGTTTCTTCCTTGGATACATCTAATTTAGTGACATGTGTGTGTATCTCAATTCAATTATTATATATTTGGCAGGCTGCATCTAACTTCGTTATCGGGTGAAGACATAAGTTCATTTTTGGACCATACCATAGAAGCGGCGTTACAATTACAAGTTCAAGTTCAAGTTGCCGATGATGATGATGATGATGAGGACGAGAGTAGAGGGAATTGCAGCAGCATTCCGAGGATCAAAGAGATGCTTATGGAACGTATTAGAGCTTCGTCATCGTCGTCGTCGTCGTGTTACGGAATTTCAGAGCTTGAAAGACTTTACGCGCGCATTTTGGGAGGATTGTTCCGTCGCCCTCGCCCTCGCCCTCTCACCCGACAAATGATTTTGAGTTACTTGTTTCATTTTGCTTCTCAACCCTCTAACTTGTACCTAAATATGAATTACTGATTGCTTCTTTGTAAGCTAGTCAGTCAATATTCAAACATCATTGCCATTGCCACTTTACTGCACTAATTTACATATTTTTTAATTTCAGATTGTTTCATATTTTTTTTTTGTTTTAAGTAAATTATATTAATTCAAAATTTATTTAATAAAATATTAATCAATTTAATTAATTAACATATATTTTAGATGTCATCTAAATCTATATTTACTTTTTTTTTTTTTTTCTTTTACTCCCCAAAATAATTTATAATAATAAATATTGTTTAATATTGGGTCCACATCCAGTTTTTTCCTTTTTTTTAAAAAAAAAAGAAAAAAAAAAGAAAACAAAACCGCATCGTAATTTATTATAATTATTATTAATTTAATATGTGCCCTACAACCAAAAATTTAAAAAAAAAAAAAAAAATTAAAAAGCCAACTAGTGAACACAATTTCCACTCCCAAGTATATACTACTAGTCGGTTGGCGTGCTAGGATGCGGCCTGATTTTAAATTTTATTAAATTATGAAAATTAATTGTTATTATTAAATAAATAAATTTTTAATATAAAAATTATTTAAATAAATTAAAATATTTTATAAAATCAACATTTAATATTCTAAATATTGGATATTGATAGATTTTATTGATTAAATATAGATATTATAAAAATGAGTTTATATACTCTCTCCATCTCATTGAAATTTTTTCGTTTATTTTTTATATTTAAATTTTTGAATATTAGTATTATATTGGATTGTAGTAAAATAAAAAATAAAAGAATACACGTGTTAGTATTGTGTAATATAAAAATAATGACGTTTGTGTAATATATTGTAAATTGGAAGAATATTTATTACGTTAGATAGGTATTACAATTACTCCCTCCGTCCCAGCTAATTTTTCCCTTTTAGTTTAGGCACAAAATTTTAATTATTATGTAATTAGTAAATAATTAAGAAGTGTATTAGCGAAAATAATTATAATTTAATAAAAATAATTATAGATTAATATTTAAGATGACTAAATAGTTATTAAAATTTTTAAAAAATAATAAATTATGAATTTTAAAATATAATTAAAGTGTATATATGTAAAAAAATGACAAATTATGTGACGAAAATAAAATTAAAGAGTGAACAAATTAAGTGAGACGGAAGGAGCACTGAATTAGGAAATGATAATTTTTTTTTTTTTTTTTTACAGACAGAAACTGAGAGAGTATAATACTAGTGAGATCTATTCATATTTTTATATAAAAAAAAATTAATTGTAAATTTAATTGGAAATTGTATGTATGAACAAAATCAAAATCAAATTTCATATTTGTAATTGTCATTTTAATTTATTCTTTTAAATTGTACTCCCTCGGTCTTACTCGAATGTACTTTTTTGGAATTTTGTAGTAGATTACTAAATAATAATATTTTATTGGTCGGTGAAAATATATAAAAGATTTTTGACATTTTTTTTCCATTGACTTTATGTACAAAGTAATTGTACGTGTAATAATATGTTTTAATTTTATTAAAAGTTAAGATTATTTTCGTATTAGTGTATGATTACTTTTATTAAAATATGAAATGAATACTTAAAAATGAGACAAATAAAAACGACAAAAATTGTACTTTGAGTTCGAACGAAATGAATAATTTAACTACATATATATATTGATCTATAGTATTAGTGATGTCTACTCATATTTTTATAAATAATTTTAAAATTATAATTTAGTTGAAAATTGTGTCGATAAAAAAATTAAGATGTTTAGACGAAGTTAATGTCAAATTTCATTAACTTGATGCTACTATTTTACTTTATCTTTTAAAAATTTTAATACAATTACATATTCTTCGGATCTTTATATAATATTAGTGATGCCTACTCGAATTTTTATAAATATTTTTTTTATACTTATATATATTTTTGGGGGAAGATTCAAATTTTATTCTTATTGTTCTTATAATTCCATTCTCAATAAATTTTAGTATTTATTTGGTTTTTATTTCAATTAGATTTTTAATTTAACTTTTAGTTTAATTAATATTTTTATATAATATTTTATCATAAACAAATTGAACAATGTTAATTTTATTTTAAAATCCAAATTATAAATAGTGTATTTACTTGTATGATCTTAGTTTGGAAGATTTTTAAGAGTTAGATTTTTAAAATATGTTTGTATGTAAGGTTTTTTATTTGAATAATTAGATTAAATATAATTTAATAAAATTCCAGAGATTTGATGTAATATATGATAATAGATAATTATATTTAAAATAAAAATTATAAAAAAATATTATTAATAGTATTATAATAGTAGAATATTACCTATCTTCCTCATCAATATATTCATTTGCTTTTTATTTAATTGTACTTAAAATTAAAAATATTGTACATTTGCATAATATTTTAGTCAAATAACGTTATATTTGTATTATATAACATTAATAAAAATATTTTTATTTTATTTTTTAATTTGTATTACGTATGAATAGTATATTACTAATATTCAAAGTTCTACGTAAAAAAAAATCAAATAAATACCTAGGGACAAATGTAAAATAAAAAAAAAAAAATCATGAAAAAAAAAGAATGGGTGAGAAATATAAAGAAATAAAATTAACAAATGGTCTCTACTTTGGTTATATGAATAACAATGCAATTTTCAGTTTTGCTAATTTATTTCTCACATAAAAAAAATATTACGTATAAACAACTAATAACAAAAAATTATTTTTCCAAATAATTTAGCACAACTAACAAATATGTTCAGTCAGTTAAACCACCTAATAAAAAAAATTATCAACTAACAATAATTGTGTTGATATATTTTTCTAACAATAAAGAGTAAAATCCGAAAATAGGAAATTATCTTCGAATTTGATATATTTAGCGCCTGAGATTAGGAATCTCTAAACACTGTACGGTACATAAATTAAACTGGAAAAATAAAAGACTGAAAATTTAAATGATGATCCCCGAATCTCTTGACTTTGATGTCGATTGAAGATGATTGAAGATGCTCTGTCAGTTGCAGATCCCAATCCTTAAATATTCTTCAGAAACGGTACTTGGAACCGTCGCCCGAACAGTTATAACGCCTCCTCTTAACTGTTTACTAACTCTTCTTTTGCTGACACGTGTCCTCAGCCGACCACGCTATTGTTCTCACTCGCTTTCCGCAACACCCGACCTCCACAACCACCAACAACTCACTTATCCAATTGTGGATCAACCGACTTGCCTATCCTACCACGAACCGACTGACTTGCTGGTCCGACCACAAACCTTCCGACTTGTTAGTCCAGCCGCAAACCTCCCGACTTGCAGACGATCCGACTTGTTGATCCGACCACAAACCTTCTGACTTATTGGTCCAGCCGCAAACCTCCCGACTTGCAAACCATCCGACTTGTTGGTCCGACCACAAACCTTCTGACTTATTGGTCCAGCCGCAAACCTCCCGACTTGCAGACCATCCGACTTCTTGGTCCGACCACAAACCTTCCGACTTGCGGACCATCCGACTTGCAGACCGTCCGACTTGCAAACCATCCGACCTGTAGATCGTCCGACTTGCGGACTTTCCGACCTGCGGACTTCTCCGACCTGTGGACTTCCCGACCTGCGGACCTTCCGACCTGCGGACCATCCGATCTGTGGACCTTCCGACCTGCGGACTTTCCGACCTGCAGACTTCTCCGACCCGCGGACTTCCCGACCTGCGGACCTTCCGACCTGCGGACCATCCGACCTGTGGACCTTCCGACCTGCGGAGTTTCCGACCTGCGGACCATCCGACTTGCGGACCTTCCGACCTGCGGACCTTCCGACCTAGGGACCATCCGACATGCGGACCTTCCGACCTGCGGACCTTCTGACCCGCGGACTTTTCGACTCGCCTATTTCCTTAGAAATACGTCTAGCTCCCCCGATCATCTCGAAATACTCCCTGATCAATCTAACATACCCAATTATAGGCCCATCTTCTCTTCTGGCTTGGGCTTTTTAACCTAATTATAAATTTCATACGTAACAACTTGCCCGCTGCCATCGGATTTTCAAACGCCATTCCTCAATCGCCGTTTGGAAGTTCGTAAACCACAACCCTACTGAGGAATTGCCTCTGCAACTGCAATCAGTTACTGCAACACATTGTGTGCCACAAAACTCTCAATTCTTCACTACTGGCCTTTGCTATTCTCAATCTCTGCGACTCCAAATCATGACAAATCAATACATTCCTGCACTCCCTTTCGACGGATCAATCCCTGAAACGACTTTCGTGACGACGAAAATGCTCACTCCAACCATTCGCCCATACTGCACTACTCCTGAAGACTCTAATCGAATGAGAGAAGTCTTGGAAGCAAGAAAACTACTAGCTGTCAACAATCCCAACTACAACGCAGTCCGCCTCCATGATAGCATCAAAACTCACTTGACGGATCCCAAGGATCCCTACCGCACTTGGTACAAAAGGGTTGCAGGACATTTTCAAGCTCAATGGAAAAACCAACAAATCGACCAGGCTATACTCCTATCTACTCTCCCATGTCATTTACATGAGAAGGTTCTTCTAGCAATGTTGGCGTTCTGGCACCTTGAGATTTGTGCCTTCCTTCTTCCAACAGCCCCTATCGGCCCCACACTCATGGATGTGGCCATGATCGCTCATCTGCCAATCGTAGGAGAAGACCCTGTAATGGGTGCCCTAGATGGACAAGAGCCCAGCGCAGACCATCCAGGCTGGTCTTTGGCTAGCATTAAGGAATGGGGCTGGACCAAATTCTTAAACGATCAGCAAGGAGCATATGGTACCCCTGATAAATCTCTGGAAATAGCTCTCAACCGACTTTGCTTAGGTCGTAATAACCTCCAAGCATCTGATCCTATCATCACTACTATTCTAACTGACGACCGTAGTACCTCCCGATTTTACATGTACTGAAAGTACGTCGGTTATGCGTCCGGCCTGTTTTCGCCATTCCCTGTATCTTCACCTTTGTCTGAACCATACCCACTTCCTCACCCAACTTACTCTTTCTCCTGGGATGCTGCTCTTAAACCCAGGTCTTTGTTTATTAGTAAGAAAATTGATAAGAAAGGCCCCAAAGTCTTTTATACCTTCAACTATCAACCTCAGTTTTTGGCATGCCAGTCCGGATGCCAACAAGGCTTACCTGGCCCCATCGCCTGTCCACACTTAATAATTCAAAGTCCAGATGGGAGAGCCATTCCTGAATTGATCACTTCTTATGTATCCCAGCTTACATTCATTTCCGAACTTCTCCAGCTTCAATTGAATCCTTCCGCGAATGGTGGTCGGTTACTTGGGCCTTAATTGCTCCTGACAAAGATTGCCTGCTGGGCATTCTTCTGCCCCAGCCTGCGGTGGTGTTGGGGCGACCCCATTGACCAACACCCGAAGGAAATTAGTCGCTCAAGGCACTGGATTGGGTGCCCCGCAGAGGAAACGAAGAGCTTCTCAAGCTATCCCCTTCTCTGAAAACGATCAACAGCCTTTGAGAGACCGCTCATCAGGTCGGGCACTTGTAAAGACCCAACCTCGTCCAGGTATTTTCCCTTAATCCTGATTCAATACAACTTCTGTACTTAACATTTTATTAACCATCATTATGATATCCAGGTCCCACTTCGGCCAGAGCGACCGCACAAACTACTTCAAATCCAAACAAATCATCAGAGTCACCAACCGACCAACTTCACGCGCCTGAAACCCCCGACCAAACGATAGACCTTAATGCAGGCGCCTTCACCCGCCGAACTGGCAACAACAGGGATTTCATCTAATAGTGAGGCGACTGCTTTAGAGATGGGTAGGTTGCCTTATGTAGCTTCAGACCCATCTCTTTCTAATATGGCACCAATGGCCACGCCTGCGTCTGCTTCTGCCGCAGTCGCCTCTAGTGCAGCCGCTTCTGCTGCGGTTGCCTCTACTGCGGTCGCTTCTGCTGCGGTGTCCTCTGTTGCGGTCGCCTCAAAAGACAGAAGTATCTCTGAGGCGGCCTTCCGTGGCGCTCCCGACGAACTTGTTGTAGCCGCCCTAGATGCACCCGACCAAAGGGTAGCAGACTTAGGAGCAGCTGACCCAGGGGCAGCCGACTTAAGGACAGCTGACTTGGAGGTAGCCGACCCAGGGGTAGCCAACCCTCCTCCAAAGGCAGACAGGCGGGAAGAAGAACCCGCACCTGTGCAACCGAGGGATCCTTTACAAGAGTTACAAGAAATCCCCTCCTCTGATTCAGAGACCTCTGTTAACCTGGTAGACACTTGAATTCTCTTTTCCAAATTACAAGCTGGTGTTCACATGATATTAAATACATCTCATTCCCATCGTTCAGGGACCCAGATCCAAACCTCAACTTATGTTTGCAGCAGCCGACGAATTGGCCATTGAAGTACCAGTCGCTCATCCTTCCAGACCTATGGCCATTCTGGCACCTTCAGTGACCACAATCCGTCCAGAGGTAAGTACAACCTTCACAATTGATTCTTGATATTTGTAGCTCATGTAATCTGAAATAAACCTTCATTCTTTCAGGGATGCTCTGATTTAGCCCCTTTGTCGGCTATTCCAATTCCCACAGGCGTCCGAACTATAATTGCACAGGCTGTTGATCAATCTTTTCCCGACCTAGGATCAGACTTACTTGACAGTCTTCTTCAAACCATTGGTGGCCTATTATTTCAAATTTCTCCAGACTCGGCTGCTACCCCCATTCTTCATCGGCTGATGGAGCGACTGTCTGAACTTCGAAATGATATCTTATTCGCTCAAATTCTGTCAGTCGAATCACCCTTACCCGACTTGGAGCAAATAAGCCTGGAAGCTTCCTTGACTAAAACCAAAGAATCAATTCAACAGGCGACTGGAAGACTGGAAGGCCTCTCTAATGCCAAAAAACAACTAGACGAATCCATCCAACAGAAAGAGGCAGAGTTGAGAGCACTCACTCCATCAAGAAAAGTCTGTTTTGGAAGGCCACATAAGCGACGAGCAGCGCCTAATTGAGCGGTACAAGAAAAATGAAGCCGACTTGGACCAAGAATTAAAGATTCATGCCCGATCCCAACTTATAAGGCGATGCCAGTCGGCTGCTAACAATAAGCGACTCTCCAGGACAGAATGGTCTCAGATTTAAATTGTTTTAGGATCTCTTCTGTAAAATTTTGGAAACCTTGACTTAGTAAATAAAATTTTTCTCATTTTATTAAGGATCACTTTCCAAAATTCCGACCCTCTAGGGAACGAATCCAACTCATCTCGTATTTAAACACTTGCAGTCCCTTGCAAATTAACAAACATACGCTTAGCTACAAACTGCAATTTGAGCACACCTGTAAATTTCCAAAATGCCACACGATCCTCCTCACGTTCCTGTAAACAATTGGCAAGGTGTTATTCAACCCTTATTCGTGGGTTATCATCCAGATGGAGGCCATGCTGAAGACCTGTTATGCATACTTAAATAATTGGATTTCAAATTCAGATTTTCCCAACGAGGCAGAAAAACCATTCATCGTGTTATTCGCCTGATGGAAAGCGTGCTAGAACGATATGAAACTCTTCAGGATATCAAAATCGCCTTCCTGACATAGATCATCACATGGATTTGATTGAACACCATGTGACAGCCATACTCCCAGACCTTGGCTAGGATCATACATTCTCCAATCAGCGGACAGTCTTTTCAAGATTACGCACTCTTGTTGATCGTAAGCATCAAGCCGTGACAGACATGAAAGCTCGACCCGAATATGATCTTGAGAGGATGCAAGACCAATGGGAAAAGTACCGACCTAGCTTAGAGGACCTTATTGATAAAGAGCCATAACTAATCCCTAATCACTGAAATGAAGACTCTGACTCAGAAGAAAGTAATCCTCTGCACGACTCGACATCTGATGAGTAAACCCCCCTTTGGGGTCGGGTTCTGATTAAAATTACTGTTTCATGCTTTTTTGTTATCTGAAAAGATAGGAAAATACCTCTTCAGATATTTAGCATTAATACATTCGTGTACCCTTTTACCTTCTTGATTTATAATAATAAAGGCACCATTTCCAATCTCCTTTTGAACTATGAATGGTCCCTCCCAATTCGGAGACCACTTCCCTAATTGATCACCCTTCTTATATGTAGGAAGGATAGTTTTCCAAACTAGGTCTCCTTCTTTGAAAGTTTTATAAAAAACTTTCATTCCATAAGTCTTAGCCCTGATTTCACTCTGTCTTACAATCTGATCAATTGCATGAAGTCCATTGATATCCAAGTCTTCCAATTGTTGCAACATAATTTGTTGAATTCCTCAGTAAACTCATCAGTAGTAAGGCTTGTACGTCCGGATGACTTGAATTTCAGCTGGCAAGACAGCATCTTGTCCAAAGGTGAGCTGATAAGGTGAAAACCCTGTGGCAGAATTTCTGTTATTCCTATGCGCCCATAAGGCTCGAGATAACAATAAATGCCATTTTCTTGGGTTCCCTTCAATATTTTTCTTTATTATCCCAATGATAATCTTATTAGCTGCCTCTGCCTGCCCATTAGCTTGGGGATAATAAGGTGAAGAATGATTCAAATGAATACCAAACTCTGCCAAGAAAGTTAAAAACTTCTCCCCAATAAAGACCAGACCTTGGTCGGTTGTTATTGAATGAGGAATACCATACCTATATATGATCTGATTCAGCACAAAGTCTATCACCTCTTTTTGATCCACGTTTTTCAAAGCAACCGCCTCGACCCATTTGGTAATATAATCTGTTGCAACCAAGATAAAGCAATGATTCTTGGATGATGGGGGATGAATTTTACCAATGATATCCATAGCCCAAGACTTAAAGGGCCATGGTTTTACCATAGCTTGCAATTTTGTGACTGGCAAGTGATTCAACTGTCCATATTTCTGACATTCTTGGCAACTTTTGGCGAATTGTATGCAATCTTCGAAAATATTTGGCCAAAAGAAACCCAAACAATGAATAGCCCATCTCATATTCAAACCCGCTCGATGAGCTCCACAAATTCCACTGTGCACTTCTGTCATCACCTCTAAAGCCTATTCGGACCCCAAACATTTCAAGAGTAATCCTTTGAATGTTCTTTTGTATAATATTCGTTATAATAATTGAAATCGCAACGCTTTCAACCGTATTCAATTAGGTACATTCGCTCCTGGATCTTGTAGATACATGATAATCTATGTCCTCCAGTCGGTTCCAGTTTCTGTTTCAGGGCCGACTTCTGCACAGATATCTTTTGGGATTCCCTTGCAAGCTTTTTGAGCTAATTCATTTGCAAATTGATTTTCCTTTCTAGGGATGAACTCAATTATTACTTCAGAAATCTTTGATAGCAACCGACCTACCAAATCTCTATATCTACGTAAATGGGGATAATTGCAAACATATTTTTTGTTTACTTGGTTGATTACCAACTGAGAATCCCCTCTTATGATCACCGATTGAACTTTCCTGGCTATCAAGGCTTCCAATCCCAAGATTACATATTCTACTAAATTATGGGTTATGGCTTCTAATTGTAGCTGCAACCTGACCCTTTGGCCATCAGGTCCCTCCAACAAAACGCCTGCACTTGATCTATTTCCTGAAGTAGAACCATAAAAAAACATTAACCAATTTCGGGTACTTACATAGGACATGCACCCGGTCGGTTCCTGCTCATAGCTTGCGAAGTCGGCCAAAAAATCTGCTATTGCTTGGCCTTTGACCGCCCTCAAAGGAGAATGATACAAATTGAAAGGGGCTAATTTAATAGCCCATTTCATAAGTCTACCTTGCATGGTAGGTCTTTGCAAAATTAACTTGATGAGATTAATCTTTGAAATGACCTCAATTCTCCTAGGCAACATATAATGCTCGAGTTTGGTGCATGCAAACACCAACGAATAACACATCTTCTCTGGCATAGTATAATTTAACACTGGTCCTGTGAGAGTCTTGCTCAAATAGTAAATTACCCTTTCCTTTCCATCATCTCCATCTTGCACTAATAAACAACTTACCACTTCATATGTATTTTCCAAATAAAGATTGAGGGGCCAACCTTCTTTGGGGGGCATCAACACATGTGGTTGAGCCAATGATTGTTTTATAGCTTCTAAAGCCATCTGTTGGTCTGGTCCCCACTCAAAAAAGCACTTCCTCCTGCCTTCAATAATTTAGTGATTGATTTGACCTTGCCAGCAGCATTGGAAATAAACCGCCTGAGATAATTTACCTAAAAACCGCCTGAGATAATTTACCTTCCCTAAAAAACTTTGAATTTCCTTAACCGTCCTGGGTGGTCGGCTGGCCTGAATTGCCTTGGCTTTATTAGCATCAATCTCTATTCCCCTTTCATGAACCAAAAAACCCAAGAAACTCCCGGCTGAGATACCAAAAGCACACTTAGTGGGGTTCATCTTCAACTTGTACTTCTTCATCCGACCGAAAGCATCTTTAAGATCCTCCAAGGGTGTGTTTGTTTGGGGGTTTGGATTTTGAGTTGGGATTTGAATAGTAAAATTTTTGAATTTGAATAGTTGTATGATGTGATATAAATAGGTGTTGATGTGATGTTTTGAATGTAAAATTGATTTTTAGTATAATATAAAAAATGAAAAATAGGTGTTTGATTTGATGTTTTTTGGGGGGAAAAAATTGGATGAATAGTAGAAATCTTATTAAATCCCCCAAACAAACACACCCCAAATGTTCCTCAAAACTGGAAGATTTGACTATAACATCATCTATATATACTTCCATGGATTTACCAATGAGATCATGAAAAATCGAATTCATGGCCCTCTGATAAGTCGCCCCTGCATTCTTCAAACCGAAAGGCATAACAATCCACTCATAAATACCTAAAGCTCCTGGACATATGAATGCTGTCTTGTGAATGTCTTCTTCTGCCAAAAAGATTTGGTTATATCCTGCATAACCATCCATCAAACTGAGAATTTTGTGTCCTGCTGCTGAGTCAATTAGCATATCAGCCATAGGCATCACGTATTCATCTTTAGGAGTGGCCATATTAAGATCTCTGAAATCAATGCATATCCTGATCTTCCCATTCTTCTTAACCACTGGTACAATGTTGGCCAACCAATCTACATAACGGCAAGGCCGGATGAAACCTACTTTAAGAAGTTTATGAATTTCTTCTTTGATCCGAGGCATTAAATCAGGACTCATACGCCTTGGAGGTTGCTTGTAAGGCTTGAAATCTTTTTTAATAGGCAATCGATACTTTATCAGGCTTCGCTCCAAACCAGGCATTTCTGAATAATCCCAAGCTAAACAATCAATATTGTTTTTTATAACTTCGAGCATCAATATTTGTTGCTCTTCAGACAAATAACCACTCATTCTGATTATTTTTGGAACCAGGTCGGTTCCTAAGTTAAATTCCAGTAAAGGATCTTGTGCTGTGAAAGCTGGCTCTGTTTTCTCTAATAAATCAGGCCAACAAAATTGCTCATCTTCTTGGAAATGAACATCATGCATCTTTTTGATTTTTTCTACTTTTTTTAAAAGCTGGTCTAAATAATACTAATTAATAAGTATACTACAATCTCGTAAATTTGCTCCTTCCGTAAGAATATATTATAAGAAGTAGGTTTGGCTTCCTCAAGAGCCATACAGTAAATCTGTTCTTTTAAAAGAACATTGAATTCTGGCTGATGAATTGAAAACCCTTATTCGGGTATTCATTAGCCATAAAAAGTTGAGACATTGGAAGTACATGACCAGGATAAAAAACTGATTCTTCAACTTGTTCTGATGCTCCAAAAGGGTTGTCATTTGCTTCCATTTTGAAGACTTGATTGCCTTCCCAGAACATCAATTGTTGATGCAGTGTTGATGGCACACATTTAGATGCATGAATCCAGTCTCGTCAAAGTAGGATTGAGTATGTAGTATTCGCATCTACCACAAAGAAAACTGAAGAAATATTTTTAGGACCGACTTCAATTGAGGCGACCATCATGCCTTCTGGTCTGGTTGGCTGTCTTGTGAAGCTAGTCATCTAAAAATCAACAGGGGATAAATCGTGAATTTCCTTCCCTATCTTCTTGAGAGTCTTTAATGGCATCACATTGAAGCAGGCTCCGTTGTCTATAAAAACTTTTGTGATTGGCTTCCCGCAAATATGTGCATTAACATACAGAGGCTTTAAATGAGACGTCGTGCCTTCTAGGATGGGAGGAAAGACTATTGGAGGAACCTCTGACTGAAAATCAGGATATGAAATCTTTGCCCATTCTGGCTCTTCTCTAAAATCATCCAGCAGACTTGCCCATAGGGGTTTTTCTTCAATCCAGTTAATTCCTGTCATTCGGCAGGGAACTCTTGGCCTTAGTCGAGACTTGACAGACCTTGGATGATCTTCCAGAATTTTGTCCCTGGTACCAGTTTCAGGTTGAACTGTCAGAGATTACGAAACTCCTCCAAAGATGGATTGATGTTAATCCGATCACAAAACTGACATCTGAAACCTTCAATTCTTTCATCTGATACGCTTTTACCCTTTTTCGGTATGGACCGACCTCCTTCATTGCACTCAGAGACGCCTTTCACATACTTAGGCTCCCCTGAGGATGAGACTTTTATGGACCGACCGTCCTCTTGACAATTAGCAGTACCTCGCGTGTTGGTCGGCTGCTTTGAAGAGGCGACCCCTATGGACCGATCTCTTTCCAACAAACCAATAGCAACCTACGCTTCGTTCGGCTGCTCAAATGAAACGACCCTGATGGACCGACCTCCTTCAGTATATCTAGCAGTGCCTTGGATGTCGTTCGGCTGCTTCGATGAAGAGACCTTATCCCGGTATCTCGCAGCATACCTGCGCTTGGCATTCCGAATCTGAGTACGATTCATGCCTGGAAAACGAGGATCCACATCAATTGGTAAAGGTTTTTTTATTTCGAGTCCATTTGCTTCCGAACAAGCCCGTCCTTCTAGTCGGGTGGTCCCGAACTAAAGCTTGCTGTTTAACTCCAAATTAAAAGAACCATCTTGGTTATCCCATTTTTCTGCCACTGTTTTTTCACAGACCTTTAGTTTTTCTTCTGGTCGGCCACTGTTTGATGAGTTTCCCTTTCCCGATCTAGGACTTGCTTGTATATTAACCATTGTTGTGGTCACTTTTGGAAAAGGTTGCTGCTCCACACCCAAAGTAATATACTTGAGCCGATCTGCCTTAATGGTCTTTTGGATCTCATTTTGGAAATGAGTGCATTGACTTGTATTGTGTGTGAACGAGTTATGCCACTTACAATACGGTCTTCCTTTGATCTCTTCCTTAGTAGCCAACCTTTGCCCTTTTGGAATTCTAATCTGGCCGTCAGTTAGCAAAATATCAAAAATTTCATCTGCTTTTGAACTGTCAAATGTAGGTCGCTCTCTTCCTTCAGTTCCTAGCACTGGCTTCAATTTAGAGCACACATAAGGCTTTCCCGAAATGATTTCAGCCGCCATTTCTTCTGTCTGATCATAATCAAAGTCGTATGTTTCTGTTTCCACACTTGCCATATGCTGAACTTTATTACGCCTGAAATTCTGATCCTTCTCTCTGAAAAGAGACTCTAAACGTCCCGCCTTGGCAGGGAGGCTTGCCAAATCTTCCACATCATGAGCAGTGAGTGCCTCTCTTAGGCGGCCATGCATATTCCTGACCACTAAATTGGTCATTTCTTTTTCATTGATTATAGTAGGACAACATCCTTTCATCAATCACACTCTTTCAATAAACTGCGAGGCTGACTCTTCTGGATATTGCTTCAATTCCAATAAATCGGTAAGTAAAACAGTTGGTAAGGGATTGAAGAATCTAGCATCAAAAGCCATTTCCAAACCTTCCAAAGTTTGTATTTACCCAGGTGGCAAATTTACAAACCATGAAAAAGCTGTTTTGGTGAGAGATAATCCAAACAATTGCAGTTTATAAAAAGGATTATTTCCCACTTCTCCCAATTGTGCTGTAAAACGACCCATATGCTCTATAGTGGAGCATCCGTCTTCCCCTGAAAAAGCATGGAAATCAGGTGGTCGATAATTCCTTGGAAGTGGATAGTCGTTAATGATCCTTTCGGGGAAGGGTCTTTGATAAGCAGGGCGATTGACCATCCGAGGATTCAAACCAAAATGCACCCTCAACACTTGGGCAATCTCTTCAGGATCCACACGGGAATTTTGTTGATGATCAAGGATGAAGATGGGATCTTGCATATGTACTCCTTGCCTCTCCTCCCTGATAACGTTTGGCTGAAAATTATCAACTCTTGGTCCCAAAGGAACATTGTTAGGGAAAGTTAGAGGAGTCTTTCCCTTATCTGTTCGGTTGAACGTTGTAGCGCTTGGAAGTGTGCTATCAACGTATGATGGCCCTGCGAAATTTGCTTGCATTCTTGATGGTGATACTCCTAGCAGCGTCCGATTGGGTTGGAGAGTAACCCTTGATAACGCTTGATCTAACATGTTCTGCATGAGATTCTGTTGCTCGCGCAACATGTTCTGCATAGCCGCATTTTGCTGATTGTTCAATTGTTGAACATAAGACAACCAATCGGTAGGTGGTTGGGGAATCTCCCCAGGAATTGGCATGACAGGTGGTGAAATATTTTCTCCCACTGGTGCTGACAGGGCATCTTCAATCATCTTCAATCGACATCAAAGTCAAGAGATTCGGAGATCATCATTTAAATTTTCAGTCTCAATCATCATCAGCACCGGTGGGAGAAAATATTTCACGCCCTCTCTTGCAGAACGTAGGCCTGGTTATAGACGAATGGATCGATCAATAAAGCTCGGTAAAATGGACTATGGAGAAATGGAAATGCGGATGCTTTTTGTACCCAGTCGAGAAGATAGACGAAATCCTCCGGTCGATAATTGGTGTCGCTTTTACCGCTGACGATCTCCAATGCCACCACGCCGAAGCTGTAGACATCCGCTTTGTTAGTAAGGTAGCCGCGCATTGCATACTCCGGCGCCATGTAACCTCTGCAAGACGACAGATAATCCGTTGGTAAGTGTTCGAAAAAGTGAAGGGTGTTTGGAGTAAAGGAGGAAGAATAACATACATAGTCCCGGCAATTCGAGTGCTGATGTGAGTCTTATCGTCTTCGATGAGCTTAGCGAGGCCAAAATCGGATATCTTTTCATTCAGATTCTTGTCGAGCAAAACGTTGCTAGTCTTGATGTCTCGATGGACTATCTTCAGCCTCGATTCTTCGTGGAGGAAAGCTAGGCCTTTTGCAATGCCGAGACAAACTTTAATCCTGGTTGGCCAATCGAGCTTCAACTTTTTCTCGGTGTCCTTTCCTAGGAAATGTAAGAGGATGGATTCATCATGGAAGTGAATCGAATCAGAGCCTCGGCTGATATGAAAATGATGCTCACCGAATAGTGCACGGGATACAAAATTGTTCTCCATGTACTCATAGATTAGCATCAAGTT